CAGAGGAAACAAGTTGAATTTGGAAAGAAATTTACATCACTACAGTTATTTAATTAAGACGTGTATTTATTGAAAAAATCTACGTGTGTAGCTTCTAATATGGTCTATTCTGTGTTTATTTTGGCAACTTAATGCACGAAACATCGCCTGATTAAACAAAATGGTTTTAAGTTGTATTAAAATGAAATAAGTATGAGAAGAGTCGTAGAGAAAATTAAGTATCCGGTCAATAAAGGGCATTTGGCACAACACGGCGGCAAAACAGAAACAGACTGTTTAATATTAACCACCACGAAAATCGCCTTGTTTTGTTACGGAATAGTTTTCGGTATTTTCAGTTTTCAAAGATAATCTTTAATCATTTTTTGAACATAGAAATTCTCACTCTTCTCAGAAATTAAAAAAGGGGATACGAGAAACTATTGTCAGATTCCTCGATTGAATAAAACGCGTCGTTTCAAAACTGACGACGTAGATAAACTTAAGAAACAAAACGAATTTTTTAAATTAACTTGATTTTGGCCTGGACTCAGGTATATATATCTGTTGCTGAAAAGGGTTTAACCTTGGCGGAAATTTTTACTTTTCTGCATTGCAAGTTCAGTTTAAGATATGAACTTAGAAGTAACACAATGATTTTATCCAATTTAATTAAAATTTTAATCTTTCTATTTACTAGAGGGATAAAGTCATTGAATGTTCCTTAAACATTGATAACAGGAAAAAGTTTGATGACTGAACAATATTTTGCAGCACACCCCAAACCCGACGTAAAAATTTTTTCAAACTGCATTAAAATAACGTTTTAGTCTTTGTTACTCCTTTACGAGTCTCGAGTAATGTTTTTTTTATTCGCCCCAAGCAACGATTTCGCTTCACGTTGTCGCTAACCCGTACTCGTTGATGTACCAAATCTCGATTGCTTTTCCTGATTTACAAGTATTCTGTCTGGTCTCTAGCCCACTCGCGCAGTTTATGATGTCAGTATGACAGCTTGAGGTTTTGATACAATTTCTTTGAGCACCTTGGCCTTCGATAGTCTTTTCATCGAAAAATTCAGGAAACATTGCCTTTGCAAGATGTATTTCCCCGTTAAGACAGTCCACCTTAGCTGATGAAAGTAATTCCAATGAACCTGAACTAGAACTTGAAGAATCGTCACTGTGTTTGTATAAAACAAACCCTTGCTGAAATGTTTTGACAAGACTTTCGCTGATGCTCTGTCGACAAGCCATTTTTGTTCCCATGAAGGAAAAAATTTAAGGAACTATTTGTTTGGGCTGTCACCCCAAGTAGGCAGAAAGCTCGACTGATATTCGGTTTGACAAACATCTCATAAAACTACAATGGTAAGTGAAGTTACGTAATGAACATTGAGCTGTCTGCACGAGGCGAGGCACGTGAAACTGTGTGCGCGTGATGTGACTTAGATTAAGGTTTTAAATTAGCGGTGCCACAGAGATCTTAGTGCAAAGTCTCAAAATTTTTTAAAAAAATCTTAAAGATTAAGAAATTGAGATATGATGATACAAAGCTCTGAAAATGGCATTGCAAATGAACTTTATTCTGCTTAAGAATAAAACTCGATGAAATCATATCACACATCTTGTATGACTATGAATTACCTTCCCCACAAGAATTTGTTTGAAATTTATTTCTCATTTTGTACTCAATCCATTTTTTAAGTAAACTACAAACAATAATACAAAGAGTTTCTTTCAAATTAGTTTTTTTTCATAATTTTAATTTCAAGCTGGAATGAAAATTTCAAAGAGATCAGTTGATCCATGGCAAATTGTTTGAAAAATGATGTTAATGTGATTTCCATTGATCAAGTCAAGGTCAGCTTCTGCGCGCATCAAAGTAATTATTCTTTTATGTCGGAAGGTGATGTCTGGTCTCATTATAGTGATCATGAGAATTCAAGCGATGCTGGATATAGATGTGTCAGCGTGCTTTCTTGTTTTGTATCAGTATTAGTTTGAATAAGTATTAAAACAGTTTATGCCAAAAACCAACTTTGATTGCGATTTGAGGGATTTTGCCAACAGAAGCTTAAGTGCCAACAGATTCGTTCGTTTAATTGATGCTATTATTAATTTGACTACTGGGATCATGGTGGGCCAAGCTAATGGAAGGAGACAAAGAATTATTATTTTTCTCTCTAATTAGCATTCTTGAAGTATAAACTGGGCTCGATTCAAGACCCAGATCACATGTATCGTGTTTGAGGGATAATTAGCTTAGCTTTCGCTCGTCCAATTTCTGCTTCTTACTCAACTTATGGCACAACCGGGAAATAAGAAATGCAAACTCAGGATCGACGTTGGCGACTTTATGTCATCATGACGCACAAGTTCTAGAGAATAACAAGAATGGATCTATTGCTTCCTATTTCTAAAGGTGACATCACATAGTGTAGTAACAGTCTAAATAAAAAAAAAGCTATTTAATAATAAATGTCGAATGAGTTCGTTTCTCCACAATATCCAACGTAAATGCCTGCAAAAATAGCTCTGTAATCCTAAAAAACTTACCTTAAAGCAGATTCCTTCTCTGAGTGAAAGTCAAAATTGGATTTTTCCTCCTTAAAGCACTTCCATGTTCAACGGAAACTTTAATGACTTTGATATAGTCCTTAAAAATTTATAATCCGTCGTTTTCCAGTGAGACAGCCACAAAAGTCTCAAGAACTCCACTCTCAGTTCATTTTCAATACGAGCCACTCTAACGATTTCGATTTTTTTAACATCCAAGTTAATCGTTATGTTCTTCCTCGCAAAGTAACACTATTGATTCTCGGAAATAAAAGAGGATACTTTTTTGAAAGGATTATGTAACTCAGAGTCTTGGAAAAACACGTGCAAAGGCAATTGAAGACAACATGGTGTGAAAAGAATTTTTCTTCGATATAAATTAACATTAAATGAATGTAAATATCATATACATGAACTGCGGTTGAAGAAACGAATATGGAAGCGATCCTCGCAGTTATGGACACTACTTAAGTAGCAGTGAAAATAACGTCTGAAAAATTCAGGTCTGTAAGGGATTTGTACCCATGACTATTTCACTGCTTCTTGAGTAGTGTTTATAAATGTGAGGATCGCTTCCGTATTCGTTTCTTCAACCACAGTTTACATATATGATTTCCATATATTTACAGTCATTTATTCACCACTTTGAGGGTTTATTTGGAACCAACATAATAACCAATTCCCAGTTGGCTTGTCAGCTCAGTTGGTAGAGCGCTGCACTAGTAACGCAGAGGTCATGGGTTCAAATCCCGAACGGGCCTGAATCTTTTTCAGGCTTTATATTCACTACTACTTAAGTAGTATTCATAACTACGAGGATCGCTTCCATATTCGTAAATTAGCATTGTTCGATTTGCAGAAAATCGCACTTCATGGTGTTATGCTGATCAATTATCGGTGGAATCGACTCGGAACATAATAGCTCATTCTTGGTTTGTTTTACAGTAATCTAGACTTTTAAGAAAGCTCATTGAAGTGATATTTTTAAAGTCGCTCCATGTCGCTTTTTTCAAAGAGGACTTATTTTCAATCAGAGTGGTAAGGTCTAATTCGATATCGCCGCCAAGAACTGATTTCTACGAATTTTTAATCGAAAGTTTGTCCGGTCTTTGTCGATATTTGGGTGTTCCGCTGCCCAGATATGAGTCATGAAAGACTTTTTCAATTCTTTTGACGAACATGAGCACGATTTTTAAATTCAGGTGGGTGAATTTGAGTGATTTCCATCGTAATATTCTGTTTACATTCCCTTCAACATCCACCCTTGAATCCGAAAGAAGAACATTATAACTTGCGGAATATTTATTCTGCCCTGCCCATTAATGTTTTCCTTTGCTTCTTTTGTCACAAAAAGAATATCCGGTTCCAATCATATCTATCAATAATCCTCCTCAGACAGACCAAATAATGTCTGCGGTGCACTTTATATCTTGCTGAAGCTCATTACGTAATCCCCTGAAGCGAATATTTAACGTATAGACGCACTACCCTGTTAGAAATGAATCTCCGTATGTCACTGCCCGGTTTCTCTGATCATCGTTGAGAATAACCTCGCGTTCCCAAATGTTCCGCTCCTCTTATCCCTTGCGAGCGGGAAACGAGGACCAAATTAAATCGTGCAGTATGTGTCCCATTCTTCCCCACTATCTACTTATTTTGACCTTTTATGATGAAACTAGAGATTATTTCGCAATAAAAGAGAAAAAAAACGTAGCAAGAATAATAAAACATAACTCTTCGCTAAGATACATATGTTGTCTGTGATCTGCTGCATTCTCAATTGGTATGGAATAAAATTGAATAAAACATGAACATCCAAATACGGCAGAGATGAAAGCAGAGAAACTGCGTTGCCGCTGGCTAAAAAAATAACCGTCGCTCTCTAGTAGAGTTGAATAACGAAATACTATGTCAGAGGCTCAAGCGCACGAGGCTTAAAATTCAGGGAAATTTGAGAAAAACAAATGGGCTGGCATTTAAAACCAAGGCATATCGTTGTCGATGAAGGCAATTTCCTATTTGTAGTATTTCTAGGAAGAAAATTAATGTTTGAAAATATTTAGACGATTCGTAAAATCTGCTTGAATTCAAAACCGCAAAATGTCCATGCAATATATGAACGAATTATGTAATATAGAAAAAAACTAGTAAAGTAAGAACTGACTTAAAATCATAACATGAATATCTGTTGATTGTTATGGGCACTACTGCCATGGATGACTAGTGAAGGGATGTTTCATATGAGTACCACTACGTTAAGATATGGAGGGAAATCTGACTCACATACGGGGTCATTCATTAGAATTGGAATAAGAAATTTCTTTGGTGTTTTCATTTAACAGGACATTTCGTCTTTTGTCTCTTTTCGCGGATTGAGGAAAAATCCGCAAAAGTTTGTTATGTCAAAAATTCTCATGCCATAATGAATAGCCACTGATTGTACGAAGCCAATGACATAAGATATCAGCCAAGAATACACTTTATAAGTGCGTTTTATTACAACATTTTAATAGCCAGTGAAGCAATCGAGTCTGTCTCGAGTTCCTAAAATTCAATGTGCTAACACGAGTTCACCTTTGGATTCATTTCTAGCAGATCTATGTAAAGTTCCTCTTTTTCGACGCGCAGTAAGCTTCTACTGCCCTGCAAAACTCGATTTCTTCTGAAGATAGGGCAAGATTCTGAAATGAAATTTAAATCCGTTTAGAGCAAGAAACTTAAAATTTATCGAAAAATTCTAAGAACAGTCCTCAGGACTGTTAATAATCTTCACTGCAATTTACGTCTGAGTTTATCTCGATGAATAACAATCATAACAATCTGACATCCAACATCTAATGGACAGCTTTAAGAATAGTAATCAGACCAGATTTATAAATAATCCATGAAAGGGGAACTGGAAAAATGGCTTCTAAGTAAATCAAGAATCTTTGGTTTGTATAATTGGACGAAGACACTTCACAGATGGAATTACTCTTTGTTCAGGGAGTTTTTATAAAGTGAGCATATTCCTAAAAAAAAACTGTCCAGTAAATTTTGCAAACTGCGTCAACTAAGTAAGCTTAGAATTAAAAAAAAAAAAAATGTACAATTATCCCATCAACCCACTCATTAGGAAAGCTCGGGCTCCATTGATTTTCTGAAACCACGCAGGGCCTACGTTACACTTTGCCTAAGTAACCAGCGTTATGATTGTATAACGTTCTATCACGTTGCATGAAAATGATTTTATTTATATTTTGCGTCCATTGTCTTTGAAGGGAACTAGTAATTTATGTATTGACGAAACTTCTCACACTCCCTAACTGAATGGAAATGTTCACGAAAAAACAGCTCGATGGATAAACATCTGCCAAGCGATCGAAAAGAGTCTAAAGAGAGATTGAAACAGTTCCCCGCTATACTAATTTGCTTTCTTGTGCTTTGGCACCAACTTAGTTGTTTCTTTCAAGAATCTAATGAACAAAATTTGAATCTAACCAAAGCAAAAATTTCAAAAAATCTTTTTATCAACCACTCTTGTATGAAATCTGTAGAAAAAACATGAGTTTAGTTGGTAAAGCAGGTTGGCTGCGAAATCAGAAAATGATTCTGTGGTTGGAGTTTTAACGAAGGGCTCAGATGTTTTCAACGAACAACTAAGAAATATTTTTCTTTTTGTTCTGCTCTTGTGTCAAATTTTTAACAATTTTCTTTCTTTCGTTCTTTAACGTATCGTGTTGTTAATATCAAGTGGTTACGAAAACCGCAAACCTCCGCTGTTCTTTGAACTGTGGTGACTGAGAAGGTCGCGTTTTGAGCGAGACACTCGTCTAAAGTATGAGGAATTTCAGCTTATCGTATAACATACATAAAAGGTGGCGTATCACCGACCTGCTGCCGTTTTCCTGCTTTTGGTCTTTTTCCCTTTGGGAGTCCACCTGCCCCAGCTGTAAATGAATCTCCCTCAGGAATACAAACGATAAATACTATCGCCATTGCAACTGTGAAGACTTTGATGTTCATTTTTAGAGCAGCTTACTGATCCCAGTGTATATTTGCCTTCCTGTTCAAACAAAACGGATAGGTTACTCAAACTGGCTGTTAAACTGTCCCTTAGCTGACTCTTATAAGCCCAAGGAATTTTCATGACAAAGAAATTCTCTTAAAGAAGCTTCCTTACTTTGATATTTTCAAACAAAAGCTTATTTGAAAATCTAATTTTGCCGGACACAACTATTTATCACCATTTAGGCCAGTTCTTGACACAATGTCTGCTGAGTTAATCAAGTTAATTTGTATCTCGTTTATCTCTATTGTTTCGTCTAAGTGAAAAACGATTTCACCAGACAACGAAGATGCTTTTGATCATTAGTGTTCTCTTTCATGAGAAATTAAGCCAATTTAAGTTTTCCCATAACAAGCGTGGCTTTCATGAAAACTTTTAAACCGGGATCAAAAAATTAACAAAGATTGCCCACAAAATTAGAAAACAGTTTTTTGTCCTCAAATCAACTTCCAGTTCCAATGTCTGGATCCGGCTTTTGTGTTTGCATCATCCAGCAGAGTAAGTGGTTTGAGAACGCAATTACAGATAAATCAATCATCAAAGTTTATCATTTATAACTTAAATTAAGTCACTTTGTATAGTTAACCAATATCATATCGGTGTGAAAGTTTAATTTACTCATTTGATCGCTTTGCCGGATTTTGTTAGTGATATTGTCACCACTGAGAAATTAAATCTTGATCAAAAACTGTACTACTCTAAAAGTTGTCGGAAAAAGGTTAAGTAGAGGTATTCACTGATCTGATTTACTACCAAATGCAATTGCCTATAGCAAATCATACTACAGAAGAAAAAAAAACAGTTTAAAATATCCATGTTTGTACAGACCAGATGTAAAGAATATCACACCTTAAGAGTCCGGGGAAAAATTGGCGTCGTCTATGACACTTCCCCCGAAAGTCATATCGAAATTATTTCATCACACCGTTCACTGAAAATGACATGAAATATGAAACGTGTGTGTTAGCAAGACTTTGGACTCCTTATTTTCATTTTGTTTTTTTCTTTGCGATGGAAAAACTACTAATCTTGAAATAACACCCCTTTTTCCTCAATTTAATTCTGCCTACGATTTGGTTACAAAAAGGGAGAATTTTCCGTCACAGTGTTGTGCGTTTTAAAAGGTGTTTTCCCCAAGGACCAGAAAGCATGAAAAGGTTAACAGCGGTTAAAGAAAAATTATCTTTTAACAAATTTTAGATACTTGAGATTGATAAATTTGGATTCTGCCTAAGGTTTGGTTAGAAACTTCAAATAAGTTTCGAAAAAACAAACTTCGTGTTCATTTGTGATGCAAAAAGAAGATATTTTACACCTTTTTTCACGATGGCCGAGTAGATCAGAAGTTCAAAAATTCCAATTGGTTTATCAGAGTACAATGAAACTTACTGAGGACGTATGTCTCATGGTATTATCTTCCTTGAAGGCCATTAGCAAAACACTGAAGTTAATAAACAAATGTTTCATCGAGGTAAGATAATATTAATATATCAATATCTGTAGTGAATGAATCATTTGTCAACACCAGAAATTTGTAAAGCTTCCGACAGAGCAATCAACTCATCCACACCTATATCAGAACCAAAACATATTACATTTCGCCCCAAAAAGATGAAATGAACCTGGCGCAGACACAGAGTTGGAAAAAATTTTCAAAAACTCTGATGCAGTAGAGTAAGACATGTCAATAAAAGAGGCTAAGCTTCTAAAGAAATTGTGGTGCTGCGTCTGTGTGTGTAGGGGGGGGGGTGTGGTGCTGCGTCTGTGTGGGGGGGGGGGTTGGGGATATTACAAGATAATTTAGTTTCATCAACTGAGATAATAACATAAATTGACCACCGTACTTTCTAAAGCTGACGTGTCGAGCGTTAACCCGTCGTCAAACCGACTAAGACACAGATGTACACGACCCTATCTAATCATCATCAGAAAATATCATGTCAAAATCATGAGCCGAACACTTTTCTAAATGTCTATGCGACACCCTCCTTTTTGGTCAAAGAACTCCAAGACTCCAGCTTAATTACTGAAGCGATAGACCACAGTTTTATTCGGTTAAACTACACGATGAAAACTTATTTTAAGTCAGTTGTCATCGGGTGGTGATTTACAAACTTCTGACTTTTCCTCTACGCCACTATGCCGATAAAAAGTTCGGTGTATGGTGTAAAGATATTGATTTTGATAAATCAACCTTACGCTATTCTTTAGGAAGCGGCACAACAACAGAAAGACTATTGGCCAATCAGAGCTTGCGTTGTGTCAGTTTGCCATTGTACTAGATCTGCAACAATCAGTTTGATTATAAAACGCTGCAAGAAAAACTTACGTTTACTCTTTTGCCTCCTTTCGTGAGCGAGATTTTTTAGTCAATAATCTTCATTCCTTCACGTCTTCTGACCACTTCACCGTCAAGAGATTACAAACATAATCTCTGGTTATGGTATATATTTCCTAAATCCACTGTTTTGATATAGCTGATGAAACAACGAAAAATTGAATAACAATGAAGAATAACTGAACGTCAGTCTAAAGGATTTTTTTCATCAGAAAAAGCTTTTTTTTCTTTCCTTTTTGCCGTTTTTCCCTCCACTATCACTTAGAGAAATGCAGAGGCCACCATCTCAGAACACATGCCTACCAACGATGTTATATGTATATGCAGATTAACCGTCTCATCATAGGTGTCCCTCCATCATCATTACGTATCAATGGCGTCAATAACCAGAGTGGCCTGTTCTTCGCATCGACTTGTCTCAGAAACGCGCTCGAGAAGAAACAAAATCCTGAAACGAACACTAAACAGGATTATACTTGCTTTGAACTTTGGGTGCCAATATACAAAACACAGAAAACTCAAACACAGATCAGCGGCAAGCTTCAGAGGAAGCTCAGTGTTTCATTATTAAGCATGCACTTTAGATGCTAAAGAGAATTCTCTACCACAAAGTTCATGAATTATTTGAAGGTTGCCTATTAGACGTTTTCATGCCATTTTACCCAACTAGCGCCATTTTAGCGGTGGTAATCAAGCATTTATTCACATAATTGTCACCAAAAGAGAAACCTGCTATTTATTGTGTTGATCATCCAATTTATTGAGAAAATTTTCAACGAGACAATCAATATAATGTATGAGTGGAATTTACAGAATACATTACGCAACAGCATAGTAAAATATCTATCAAAACCGACCTTTATATGTACTTAAGGAGCATTAATTAAGCAAGCGTTAACTAAATCTCCAAACTAAATGATGAAAAACTGCAATATTTATTTACGACCTCACTCCCGGTTCAACTGAAAGTCCGAGCACTTTTAATTGACTGTATGGAAGTGTTTGGCGACTGTATGAAATGTTTTTCCTATCTCATCTGGCAGAAAAGACGGTTTTTTCATATATTTATTTTATTTTGGGTTCTATCAGAGAGTAGAAAATAAAAGCCTCCAGCGAAGCGCTTCGAAAACTTTATTGTCAGTGTTATTAACTTGCGATTATATTTTTCTCCAGATAGCAGCAAAGGCTCTGAGACACGTCAGCATGAATTAATGATCTAAATGCAGCCTGGCAATTGTGATAGAAATGGAAAAGATTTAAAAGCGTCATAGAAGCAACATACATTCCCTCAGTACTTCTGTGCTTTTATTATCTGATTACAGTGAAGTTCACGGGAAAAGATGTAGTCGCAAGTCCACAATTTATTTACAAACTCCGGCAATCGAGAACAGGTCAGATCCACATACACTTCTTAACCTTTGCGCGATACACTGAATTTTTCTTTTTTTCCGACTAAAGAAATAAAGCACAACAAACATGGCGACTCATTCTCCTCGTGTTCGCTCTTAGACTTCTATGCCTTAAGGGAGGCACAGGCATCCCAACACTAGAATAAGAAATCGTTTTACGAGTGAAAATATTCAATAAAAAAGGTAACGACAAAAGGGATGGAAAATTTACCCTCAAACTTAAATACAACCCGTTGGGTTTGTGTCACAGACGCAAACCAAAGTGGCAAAGAACGTTACTGGCAGGTGACAGAGAAATGTCTTGGATTTATTGCAGTTAACTGATTCCAGATTTAGAAATGAAACCTCCAGTCCCCAACGAACAGGCATGTATGTGTCTGGGTAACAAGCCTGTGAAGTCTTAGAAACTCAGTTTCACCAGCTGGGTTTTAAAACACTCAAAAGCATTAACTTGGTGCATTTCAAATAGTTTGGTTCATTTATCTACGATATGAGCTAAAGATCACTTTCATTTGTTTAACTAACAGGAAAACCAGGATTTTTTCTTCTTTCGACATTTTTCAAGAGCAAGCCTTTAGCAGAATTTTATGGACAGATTTATTCATGCAACTTGAGTGTTCTTCAATAATCCATTTTCGTGATCATCAGTTGTTTGAAAATACCTAAAAAGAATGTCACAATTACTAAAACATACTTTTTGTTAAGTCACATTTTTAAATTACAAACAAACTTCATGTTCCCCCGAAGTCTTCTGTTCAAGGATTTTTCCACGATCAAACACTAACTCACAGCGAACTCAGTTGCGCAAGCTGGCGGAAATTCAGAAGAAAGCAAGCCCATTATAATACAAAAGAACCATTTCGTGTTTATACTTGAATTATAGTTTATAATGATAAAATTAATTGCTTGAAAAATTTGCGCAATTGCTGTTGTCTTAATGGACCCCTCATATAATTAAAACCTCCATAAATACCAAAATTAGTAACACAGTTTTCGCTTGAGCCAGAAAAATACTGCGCAAAACATACAGTCAGCGGATTGGTTTTTGTCGGAGTGGTATTTGTCGGTAAATGTAGCTATTTAATGCAGTAAGTTTGATTAAATATAATTTCTTGTAGGTGTTGAGATATGAATTCTAGTCAAGATGAGTTTCTTTTTATTTTTGGATCATTTAAGATTTGATAAAGAGAGTTTTGTATTTAAGGTTGAATCGCAGTCTTTCGCCTTATGATTGAACATATCTAAATACTTCTGGAATGACATGAAAATTTGTTTCAATTTCGTTTTAATTTCGAAAAGCATTGTGTCAAACTGATCGATGACACGGTTTTCGGGGGTATACAATTGTATGAAGTCTCATTTTGTCGCTTTTTATTGATTTATAATGTTTAATTCGATTTGCGGCTTCTATACAGTATTTCCTTTGATTTGCACCTCGCCTAAATCATGTTCATAAAAAGCCAGCTAAATTCAAGTTTATTGAAATTAACTTATTAAAAGGTTAGAGAAGCATTAATTTTAAATAGAGCAAATTGCATAAAGAAAGGAGAGGAAACTTGGAAGAACTCGTCAACAAACAGGAGACGCAAATTGAATAAAAACGTATTTCCTCTTTGACGGATGTCCAAGGAATACGTGAGCATCAGCGCTTTAGTGGCAAAACTCTGCTTTTGACATTGTTCAACGAAACTATACTTCCAAGTATAAGTTTTGTCAAAAACCCTTTTAGCTGTAAATCACAACTGAAGGTTTTTAGACTGCAAATCAGACTACGAATTTTTTTACATATTGCAACTTTTAAAGGGAGAACGTGTTTTGAATGAGTTATTTATGTCTGAAAGGACGGTAACAAATAAACACATTAGGGGCTACTATCAAAGCTTACTTTGAAAATACCGCCTAATCGCCAGTAAGGTTCCAATCAATTATACCATCGCCAAGAGACTGTTTTCATAAGCTTCACCCCTTTGCATTAAATGAAATAACGTACATTATTTCCTCGATGTGGGTTTATTAACCTGCAGGTTGTCCATTTTCTAATTGATTCAGCTTCCTTTCGCTGACAGAAGACAACATCACCATCATTACGGAAAATAAAAGAGAAGGCCACTCTATTCTTTTGAAGTAAGCCATCTCGTTAGCAGTGTTATTAACTTAACGCCTTGTTCGGTTGTCATTTGGCATCGTTTTGTTATTGACGCAACACAGGTGGTTTAGCAAACCATTTAAAGGTGCTGCACTATCATGCAGTACTCACAAGAAAATTTGGTTAGATTCAAGCACGCCTTTTTGCCTTAGGCTAAATTCATCTTAAGATGTGTCCAAGACTCACTGTCGTGTTTTTGCTCGTTCTTGTTGCCGTCTCCATGTTCCCACAGACGTACGCCTTCACTGCTGGAGCAGGGAATATTGGTAAACGAGGCGAGAATTATTTCCAGGTAAATTAAACCACTTAAGATATTTCTTTTCTGGCACCTACCACGTTTTCTTCTTCTTGAAAATAATTATTTTATCACACATAACACTTTATCATCTTCATCTGACTTACGGCAGGCTCACTCGATCAAACATTTAAGCGAAATAACTGATAACGTATGGTCACAATTTAACCCTGATCATTAATAGACAAATATCTCCGACAGTCAGGCAGCTAACTTTCACCGTTTAGATTGTCCAAGGCATTACAAATTAACAAAAATCCCAGGCCAATTTTTTTTCAGTACTCAAGAGACCTACATGAGGCAAATGTTTATGATCGTCACTTATTTTCTCTGAGTCACATCTGTGATAGACAAATAATTTTCATTTCACATATTTGCCATTGTTTTATGTATTTTTAAAAAAATTCTAATTTTCCGCTTAGTGCTTTTTCACAAATTAAATGTTTAATCCTTTTTAAGTTACATCAGTAAGCTAATATATGTTAACCAACAGACTGCCAATATTAGCCAATCACATCGCCATGTGCTCTTTTCAATTGAGACATAAAGTTAAAATTCCATAGTCATAAAGCGAGCGAAATGCTTCGAGCCATCCATTTCTGACTTCGCTTTCAGAGATAAAAGAAAGAATTCTCATTTTTTTAGTTTTGTCTTTTATCAAAGAACGAAGAAATTAGAGCCACGACAAATTGACGTTTCAAACATCTCCCCTGTATTGTTTCATTAAATAAGTAAATTTGATTACTATTTCCTTCCATACGTGTCGGTCAGTTTGGCTGACTGAAAATTATACAATTTGCCCCTAACGAGATAAACCATCTGGAAAACTCGCTGGTCGTTGAGACCACGGTAACATTCATTAACTTGCTCTGTTTCCAGTGAACGGATAAATTACTGAAACTAGCTTTCACTGATGTCAAAATTTAATTGTCACAAAGAAGTGTTAAAAAAGATTGCTTGATATGGTAATGAAAGTCATACATACGTAAACCGCCGCCTTCTTCGTGTGCAGGAAATGCATCATGCTCTAAGCAATAACTCAGTATTGAACATCGGTGACGGAAAGCGGAAAGTCACAAGATATCTAACCATTCAACCAAATTTTGGCTATTAAAGCAATACTCAATTAGCTGATTGATAAGTTGTTGATGAATTTTACATGCCTCCGTCTTATTCTTCTGCTGACAGCTAGGCAGTTTTGCTTACTCTCCAAGAGGAAACTGGGCACGAGCTTGCGTTACCAAGATTTCTTAACCAGAACTATATTAGGAAGTGTATTTGTATGGGAAGGGTTCCATCGAAAAATAGCAAGAAAACAAAATCGTAATTAACCCTGTCGGTTTTTTTACTTTCTTTAAGAAAATCTTGGCCGCTACCGTTATTTGCATTTTTGGAAATGGAAAAGAGGTCGATTTAAGGGCGAATAATTTCAAAAATTGAAAGAGCGTCTCAGAGGTTGTAGCATCGTATGAAATTCGGTGCTTCATGGGATAAAACTCACTGAGATATTCACCATTGCATACGGCCAATTTCGTGGCTGGCAAAAGCGCTAGTGAGCCCTTACATTCTTTGTAAAATTTTTGATTTTTAATATCGTGTGTTTCCGAGAATTTTACCACTATCGGGCTAAATCTTTGAGAGAAAGATAGGGTACGACCTATATTTCGATAACTCAGCACCAAAATGTTTTCAGTTTCCTGTAACCAATAATTAGTTCGTCAGTTTTTCGATTCGAACAACATCAGCCTCAGGCGTCAAAAGTCATTAAAGTCTCTGCATTTGTCTTGAACGAAGT